GTTTAACTAAAATTGATTTACATAGAAATATGGAATTTAATTTGTTAAATAGGCTCTAAGAATTCGAAAAGGGTAAGTTGAATACAATAGAAGAATTCGATCCGACACTACATTAGGTTATGAATCTTGAATTAAGAATAAATGTAATCAATAGATGAAATTGTTGTGCCCTAATATTCTTCACATATTTGTTTCTCCAATTATCCGTTGTTTGCAATCATTTTATATTTTCAGTTTGCAATTATCATAAATATTTACTTGCTCTTGTCAAATAGGATTTAAAAAAAGTAGATTAAGACCTAAAGTATTGTCTTCGTGGGAACGATAATCCAGACTCATAGGTCCACTATATTACTTGTTACATTATCGTATACTTGCGATATAAAAAACGCAACAAGTTTTTGACACTGTTGCAGTGGACCATTTACTTTTAATTTTAATTTATTTATTTTTAGTGTTATTTGATTTGTTTATTTTCTTTTTATTTATTTCTATTTTAGTAGGCTATAAAAAAAATATTAAAAAATAACAGGATAAAAGATGGTTGTGACTCTTTTCGACAATATACTGGTATGTGACTTCATGATAAGGCAACAACGATTGGCAGCTCAAGAAATTTTTGAGGGAGATATGCTTGTGGGAGATTTCATTATAGGACAACAATTACGAGATATAAAAGCGGAATGTGTAATTGATGAAATTGTCCTAGGTAACTTGCATGTTGCATTATTTCTCTCACACAAATTTGATATGGGTGATTTGTCTGTGAAATTATTTCTTTCATGGATTATTAGTGAACATCAATTAAGAGAATCGGATCCACCGAACTACCAACAACTACAACAAGTGGAGGGAGACTTTCAATGATTTTGTCATTGTCTCTGTGCCAAAAGTTTTGGATACGAACTTTGAACTCGAGAAAAATTCAATTAAAAAAGAGGAGCATGAAAAGATTGAGAAATTAATCATAATGGGAGAAAAAGAACTTGTAACATTCAAAGAAGAGGAAATCATTGACTTCATCGTT